GGGCCGGGGGCCGAGGGCAGCCCGCCCCGGGCAGAGGGCTCCGACGGCTGAAGTAGTCTTTTAAAAAAGAAGAAAAAGTGTGTGTGTGTGTGTGTGTGTGTGTGTGTGTGTGTACCGTCAAATTGGATCTGACTGGTACAGGAGACTGCCCCTCCTTCTCCAGCAGAGCATGAAGTAGAGTCTGGGTTTTTTTTTCCCTCCCAGGTGCCTGTCGGGGCCTGGGTTTCAGCTGTCCACACCACAGCAGTGGGCAACGAGCTTAAAGCCCCTGATGGCTCTGGGCGCTGACTCTCACCAGTGGCTATGGATGAAGTCACAAGCGATTTTCAGCCAGCGCCAGGCATGATGTCCTTCTTCAAGGACTGGTCCCTCATTGCAACATGCCCAAAGTATGTCAGACAGAGTTTCAGAATCCTTGGCTCCAAGAAGCAGCCTGGTTGCACCCTTAATAATAATGATAATTAATCCTAAACTCTTTTTGAAGTTTGATGTGTAATCATACTGTTTTTTACCTATATATATGGGACTGTGTGTAATAATAATAAAAATAAAATAATAATATACTATCCATTATTTCCTCTTATAGTATAGGGTTGCTATGAGTTGCAGGTGATGGCACATAACAACAACAATAATAATAACAACAGCAGTATATTATTTACTGAATCTACTCTGCATAGTTGCAGGAAAAATGTAGTAAAGTACAATTTTTATTATTGGATATTTCACCTGTGATTCTGTTCTGCTGTTATTAATTCTGAGCTAAAATGTCCTAAATGTTTTGTAATCTGGCCTTAATCTATATATTGTCAGTCCTAGTTATAAACTCTCCTATCATGTCATGAAAGAACAACCTTAATTTAAATCTTCCAACAAGGCTTTTTTTTTTTTAAATTTTTTTTTGTGTGTACCGTCAAATCAGATCTGACTGGTACAGGAGGAGATTGCCCCTCCTTCCTCGGCAGAGCATCTGGTGGATTTGAACCATGCGCCTCTTGGATTTCAGTGCAGCTTCTTGCCACTAGGCCACCAGAGCTCCCCCCAAGAAGGCTTTGAAAGATCTTGAAAGACGAATTTGCCCTGTGGGTTTACTTCTTTTATCATTTTCTCTATTTTATTGTGTGTTGCTTTTCTAAGCAAATAGAAAAATCTTTGGGAGTGATGAAGGTATCTTACAATTTTCTTTTCTTTGGCTGAGTTATTTTTCTAACTTCAAGCAAGAAAAATGGAAAAAGACCAATAATGAACAGTTTAAAAAACTAGTATAGGAAGAAAAAGCCCAGAAGCTAGAATTCATTCTTAAAGAGAAGGCAGAGGAAAAAGAATACGTGCTATATGTGATTATCTCAGTTGGAAATTTATATATTCTTCTAATTTCTTGATATTAAAAGCTGTATCTTTTATAGACTTTAATATTTTGCAAAAAGATACTCCTCCTCCCTCCTTCCTACTAGTTTCCTTTATTTTCTTTATTCATTGAAGACAGCTCACTTTTTAAAAATTTCTTTCAAAATCCTTGTACTTTCCTCTTTCTGATTTTTCCTGCCTGCAATTCTTTAACTTTAGATTAATTCAATTATCTGTCTTCTCTGGAACTGAGATGTTTGAAGAGAGAGAATTTGAGTTGTATATACTGATATGCAACAATATCATTTTCTAATCTCAGCTGTTTGCTCATTGCTGCTTTGGGATGTTTTTAGGTGTTCTGGATTGGCTGTTTCATAACAGTTATAGCAAGACTTTACAGTTTCATCAAGTCTCCTGTGTTGTTCCTGAACAATTTTTTCTACTCTGAGAGAAAATGGCAAGCTTTTTACTGCCATGTATACATGTACACTTTATATATTTGTATCAATTCCCTCTTTCTTTAGGAATTAGGGGACATCTTTCTCTTCTCTGGTGTCATAGTAATAAGGAGCTGGGCTGCCAGCTTGAAAGCACGTGACTTAATCCCACCAGTTGCTCTGTTGGAGAAAGATGGGCAATCTCCTTCTGTGTGACTTTACAGCCTCTGAAAACCCTCTAGAGAGTCAGCTATGAGTCAACTTTGACTTGACAGTACATCACAACACAGCTCTTTTTGAGATTGTCCATGTGTTCTATTGATCTTGCTCTTTTTTATTTTTCTAGATTCAGAACTTGATTTTGCAAGCTACTCTATGTCCCTTTTTATTGATATTTTGTCAGTATCCTCTAAACTTGGTCAGGTGCCTTTATATAAAATTCACACAAAATCAGTACTTCTTGTCTATCTTTTCTTCTATGTTTTCTATATACTCTTTCACCCTTTTCCTTTACTTTTTACTCATTTTTCAACATACTAAAATTAAGCTTCTCTTTCTGTCCTTTTGTGACCTTCGCATCTTTAATTGTAATTTTATAGTATTTGACTCTACACTTCTTCTTCTTTATGAATTCTTTCTTGGATTCTTTTAGTCTCATCTAAAAGTTTTTTCTTAGCTACTTTTAAAGCTTTTGGGGTTTTTTTCTATTTCTTTTTTTAAGGAAGAAAACCAGTTTTCTCTCTTTAGATGGTCTTGATTCTTTTTCTTCTTAAATGCCCTACTTTTCTCTTAAGAGCTTATTTATTTTCATGGTTTCAGATACATGTTATATATAAAACTAGTCTTGTATCTTTATGTTTTATTCCAGACTATTTAAGTGTGATTTAATTCCTAAATTCCTGACCCTGGTTCTTAAAAGCTTTTCATGTTTCTGCTACATGTTACTTGAGTATGTAAGTATTAAAATGTATCAAGATCTGAAATCAGTATGTTTTTTCCTTTCCTGACTTTTTTTTTTTAAATCCCTAACACACGAAGCAAACAACTGAACAAACCAAGCTCTAACTGCTTAAGTAGAAGAAATCGCAACATACATACAGATATTTGATTTAGGGGAAAAAAATATTTTATTTAGGATTATGAGAATATTTTCACCTTTTGTCATTCTTTCATTACCTACATTTAATCCCTGGATAAAGCACATCCATCCATTCTATTTCTTCAACTATCTATAAAAATCCTTCTCTTAGTATCCATTCTCTTCACATGTACTTTTATTCATGAATTTTTAAACAAGTCTCATTTTTTTTCCTTAAATCAATTTGCTGTTAGTCTGTTTTCCATAATTCATATTTGATTATGTTTGACTCCTGCTTAAAACCATTTAATACCTATCCAGTTTCCTCTGTAATAAAGTCCTTATTCTTTCTCTGGCTAAGTGTTCTGTAATCAGCTCCTTCTACTCTCTAGGCTCATGTCTTTTCTATATTCCCTGTATGTGTTCAGATCATACCATAATAGCCATAATCGGATTTGGAAGTGGTTTCCTGTTTTTTAGTGCTATTTTTTTACTAATCCTAAAAAGTTTTTCATGAAATAGATATAAAAAACATTCCAATAATTTTGCACATATAATTTAGTGATATTTTATCAAAGGCTTTTTCTGCATCAGTTGATAGGACCATATGGTTCTTGTTCTTTGCCTTGTTGATGTGATGAATTAAGCACTCAACAAAATAGGATTAGAGGGGAATTTCTTCAACATAGTAAAAAGTATCTATGAAAACCTAAGAGCCAACATTGTTGTTAATGGAGAGAGGTTAAAGGCATTCCCTTTAAGAACAGGAACTAGGCAGGGATGCCCACTATCACCTCTTTTATTCAATATTGTTTTGGAAGTCTTAGCAATAGCAATAAGACAAGAGAAGGGAATAAAAGGTATCCAAATAG